GAGACAGAGAGACAGAAAGAATTTACTCACTTTTCACTATCAACATATCTAAACTACAGAAGTTGGAAGGTACTGAAATAATAATTCAGAAGAATTATACTGATGTTAGCCAGCTTTAATTCTTTAGGCCCATAACACCAGTTTGATGTCTTAACAATTTACCTGAAAATAACAGAGAGTGGAGACACAGATTATATTTTTGTACAGAGAGACAGAAAGAATTTACTCACTTTTCACTATCAACATATCTAAACTACAGAAGTTGGAAGGTACTGAAATAATAATTCAGAAGAATTATACTGATGTTAGCCAGCTTTAATTCTTTAGGCCCATAACACCAGTTTGATGTCTTAACAATTTACCTGAAAATAACAGAGAGTGGAGACACAGATTATATTTTTGTCTTCTTAGTGCTCTGGTATCAGACATTCTTCAGTCATTTCTTTACAGTAGACATCAGGCATGCACATTGTACTAATTGAATTTGCATATATGAAGTATCTTTAATAGTCTAAACAGAGAGACTGCAACTATAGCCGGTTGCTCTTCTGTCTTTGCTCTCCTTTTCCTGACTACGGAGTGAATTCTGTTGAGCATGGTTGAGTTGCAGCAAAGCATTGTTCTTCTGTTAACGTGAATGGGAAAGAGCTGGATGCTCAAGATGCTGAGCACAACCAGCAGAGAATAAGCCACAGAACTGTACATATGTCTAGTTGATACTGTCTCCTGCTTTTGTCTTAACCCATTTTATATATAAGCTAGGGTAATTTTACGTTTCAGAATTTCAGAATCACCATTTATGTAAGATCTGTTAATTTAATTATCGAAATTCTAATTGGAATAATTGTGGTAATTTTTGTAGAGGCTTGCGGAAGTATAGCAGTCTATCAAGGTCCACGGAAAGAACCAGATGATTATTCTAACTTCACAATTGAAGATTCTGTAGCAACTTTTCATACACTTAAACAGATAATAGATATAGTAGAAAAGCTGAATGAATCGCATGAAAAATACCGAAAGAAGAGATCATCTAGTGCTAAATATGGTAGTGAGTAAGTATCTTATGTAATTTTGACAGACATAGATGTGTATTTTTAAAAAAATAAATCCCGGAATAAGCCCAGGCTTATTGAGGTAGAGATAATCAAGCTAAAGGTAGATTTAGACAACACAAAGACATGGAGAAAATGATGTACCTTATTTGTAGTAATGCAGCTTTTTACCAGTTGGTAGAAGTTGCTCTGGTGTGGGGTTCATCTGTGTTCCTGTTGAGATTTCCATAAGCAGGTGCAATGAGTGTCATTTCCTTGCAAGTTAACATCTGAAATGCACACAAAATTTATCCCTAACTGTTTGCCTACCTTCTAATTTTTTTGAAATTTCAAATTTCAGTTAAGAAATAATTAAAATACCAAGTTATATAAAACTGTAAAAATTACACTGCAGAAACATATCTATCATGCAGTATATTTAATGTTTGTAATTCACTTGCCAAACTCAATGATAAATACTATTTCTGATGAAATTAAAACAGTCTGTTCTTTGGAGTACATTGTTGTTCCAGGGCAGATTTTTTCAATTCTCTTCAATCCTGGCTGATATCTATGGAGCATCACTAGCAAGTTTTCTGATTTATTCTTTGCATCAATAAGGCATGATTCACCAGAAGAAAAGAATGCTCAAACCCCGATTTGGTTTGCCTAGTTTAGTATTTGACCCAAGTTGTTTAAAAAAAAATTTACTTTGACTTAGGGGTCTCACATGAAAGTATGTGAGGTTTTCCGCAAATCATGAAATTTCACAAGTAGTGGTAGAAATTATGCAAAAAATATAGGTTTGCTTAATAAATTAAAATTGAATGGTAAGAACTAGGAAGCAAATGTTAACCTTAATAATATTTACATATAATATTTTATTTTTTCCAGAGAAAATCCAATTGTTGGAAAAGTTTCCTAACCAAAACAAACTATGGCACACTTGGACGAAAAAAGAAACTGGAAATGTTCTTGAGTGTTTTGGGTTTTTTGTTTTGGTTTTTTTTGGGGTTTTTTTGTATTCATTTATAATGAATATAAACTCATTATATGTATTTTTACAAAGTATTTAAGAACGAACATAAATGCTAGTTGTGTTGACAATCTATTTAATATTTAATAGAAAAATACCTACTTGGAAATCTGGTCTTAAGGTTTATTCTCATTTTGCTGAAGAACTTGAAGTTCCAGGTTCTTGAAGTAACAGGTGTGAATAAATCTGAATGTTGTTTTGCCATTGTTGTCCTATTGGAAAGAACTTTCTAAACAAATAAGCTTTTTAATGGAAGAAAATCCACACGGCATTTGTTGGTTGGATTACATCTCTCAATACATACACTGCAAACTTGCATGAGTTTACCATGAGTGCCTGCCCTGCTGATATGGATCTTGAAATAGAAATCCCAAGATACTATGACATGGAAAAAGATCTCAAGCTTCACACACTCAATTCATTTGACTTTTTTCTTGTATTAGGTGTTGTCAGGACTTGATTTATCTACAGCTGAAGTCTTACAAAATCATGCAGTATGCTGCAAATAATCTGGACAGCAGATACCAGTGTTAGTTATGTTTTTAAGTACTAAAGAAGAAGAAATCAGGGAACTTATGTTGTACCTCTTGTTTACATTTGGGGTGAGTAATATATGGAGTGACATTAGACCACTATCTATTTTCTTTAGGATTTTTAAGGTACATATTTTTTCTTAATCTAAAGAAATGCAGGGTAGCAACATTCTTTTTAAATAAGTTTGCCTACGGATAGAAAAATTTAAATGTGAACAGATTGTGGTTAAGTACTGATCAATTTACATCATCCCATGTATGATTTTATTTCTTTTTTTTTTTATAAAAAGTAATAACTAGGTCCAGCTCACCTTTTGACTACAAATCTAATAAATAATCTCTATTATAATCACTCAAAGCACTTTAGATATCTGGACTATCCCAGATTATTTTTAGATACTTTGTAGTATCTGCTTGTTATGATCAGTTGAATGATCAACATTCTTTTGTCTTTAAGCAATGCTTCAGTGAATATTTTTATATCTTTAGTTATATGGATTTGTATTTGCCACTTAACACAATTTTAAACTGGCATTCTTGACTTTAGTAAGATTAATTTTTGCTCACTTCATCTGAGAAGTTAGGTTTATGCTGAAAGAACATATATGTACATAACCAGGAAGAAGCAAAGGTATTACTGTGGCAACTTTGCTTCGTCAGTATTAATACAATGGTACGCCTTGGAATATTATTTTTAATAATAACTGTATGTGGTACTTTTATTTTTGGAGCATTTGCTGTGGGGTCTTTTGTTGTTGTTTTGTTGGGTGTTTTTTGGTTTGTTTGTTCTCTCTTTTTTTTTTTTTTTTTTTTTTTTACAATCATGATTTGGCCAGATTAATTAGGAATGTAACTTACAAATAGAATAGAAATCCACAATGCTTGAAACTTTAAGCTGTTTAAATTACTGTACATTTATTATACTGTTGTAGGGAGGCTTTCTGTAATAGAAGCAAGTTGGCAAGACAGGATTGAAATCTCTTTTGGAATGAATGTAACTTACTAGAATAACTATTAGGTTTAATACCAGCCAAACCATTTTAGAATATCCGGGATTCAGTACTAGTGTCTGCAACATCACAATCATTTAATCACCTCAGCTGTTTTTGCCTTTTCCTTTTTTATACGTAATGTTTTCTAAGGGACTCTTATTTGCCAACAGTTGAAATTGGAGGGCGGGGAGAAGGGAATATAGTAATGCCAAGAAATGTCTTTTGCCAAGGTAAAGTTGATCTGATTAATTGCCATTAATAAAAAGCTGCCATTAAACAAAGTTGAATGTGGTTGAGTGTCAAAATTAGGTTTTGCTGTATATGGATTAACCCTGTGGCAAAGGATCTGTTCCTTGGAGCCATTTTCTGTTGTTTTCAAAGTCAAATTTTTGAAAAATTAAATTGTATACTCTTTCAACATCTTTTTTTTTTTTTTTAATATGCACTTTTTTTTGCTTTGGTACTGGAATATCTAGGAAAAAACAAAGGCCATTGAATATTTGTGACCATTAAGATTTGATTTCTCATTTTATAATGTTTTAAAATGCAGTAGATGTTCTAGAATTTAATTAGGTGCAAGTAGGATGATTAATAATAAAAGTTGCCTTCATTTTGATTAGTCTAGAAAGATGATGTTATTCAGTAATTAGTTCTGTTAGGATTGTAAATTATAATTAGTTTTAATTTGTATTATGATGATGTATTGTTGAATGTATTTTTATTTAAATTTTATTTTCTTATCAAGACATTAAAATGTTTTGTAACATTGCTTGAGAATAACTCACAAATAAATTACAGTAAACTTGAGATACACTGTGTGTTTATTGTGAGGCCTGGCTTTTTAAAATATTAGCATTTATCTGAAGACTGAATTAATAGGGGTTTACATCCAGGAGTTGGGTATAAAGAGATAAATCTAGTTGACAGGAAAAAAAAAAACAAATTAAGTTGAGGGATCTTGCATGGTCATTTACTGCATTGTTACATTCTAAGATTGATAGTTGGAGAGAGAAGTGATAGTTAATCATTTAGCATAACAGCGTGCATAGAAGCCTTAGTAATTTGACAGTTTTTAATATGTTTGCAATGACTAGTCTGATTTATTGAAGGATAACTAGTACTATGTTATTAGTGTTATATGACTAACTTTTTTTCTTGCGTACTGATTTGTCTTTCATTAGCTGTCCTGTGTACCAGTACCAGCTATATAATTTGTCAGACCTATTTTAAATATATTGCGTATGGAAGAAATAGTCTTAACTTTTCTCAATCTTCTTTCTTTATGTAATCTGGGCACTTTTTTTGCCACCTGCTCTCCCCTCCTATGCTTTTTATAAGATAATTTTGTACAAGCGTGTTTTAATGTCTTGAGATGTTTTGTTTCCTTGTACGGAGAGCTGACCTGTTGTCCTTTTTTGCTGGTATGGAAGCTCCTGTTAAGAGTTACAGTGCAAACCTTTCAGCCATTTTGAAACTAATTTTGATTAATTCTGAGGTAAGCTATATAAGGCCTAGTCTTAGTGGTCACTACATTCGTTTGCAGAGATCAGAAAGCAGAGGAAGTTAAAGATGAAATTGGAAGTACAGGAGGAATTTTTTTCTTTGGACATAAAAAAAATTTTTGTAAGGATTCTGTGATGATTATAGCAGAGTGATCTATTCTTTTCACTGCTAATATGCTACCTTCTCTAACCGTTCATTAAGCTGAGTTTTCTCTAAACCATGACATGAAGAGGGCATTCCCATTTAAGATCTGTAGCTTCTGTGCTGACCATACTTTCAAGTTCTGGGCTAGGCTAGCAATCATAGATGCATAAGGCCTCTATAGCTAGAAAGTTCTTCCTAGGACTCTGGATTCCTTGAAAATCAGTGTGCTAGTTTCTCACACAGTTCTATACATCTTTGTCCCCCATCATACATGCAGATGACTATAGTGAGAAAATGCATACTTATAGCCTACATATAGGTGAGCATATATATTTATCTTCATACAGTCTACCTATAGACTCTATATGTAGTAAACAGAATCAATAATATATGGAAAGTTAAGTGTTTACAAGACATTTCTGCTCATTTGTATGTATTTTAAAGTACGAAGTTTGCAACATATACTCACGTGATAAGGACTGATTCAGTATTGTTTTTAAAAGAGCATGCATATGGAATAAAAATCAGGGCAATAAGCAACAGCTCCCAGTAACAAATAAGAGCAACTTCCAGTAGAATGGACAAATGCATACAATTTGCTTAAGGTTCTTACAAATAGTTACAGAAGCGTATTTAAGTAAGTTTTGTATGATTTATGCAGATTAAATAAAGAAATCCTTTAATAGCAGTAAGGAGACTATATCGGTGTTACTGTGTTGAGCTGTGATGGGACTGCTGCTGCAATACTTGCCTATTCCTGAGATTCAGCAATATAGGCAGCTGTTTTTTAAAAAAAAAAAAAAAAATTAATTCAGAGTTTAAGAGTAGAGCTATAAGAACTGGGAATATAGACTGTAATTTAGCTGAATTACTTAGTTTAAAAATAAAAGTTTTAAAAGTCCTTTTGTGTACCTAAATCAGGGACAGAAATTTGATAATCAGTTGCTCTGCAATCAGAATAAGGTTTAAAAAGATCCAGTGTTAAAAAGATCCTGCAGTGTTCAGGAAATGCATATGCTTTGTAAGAATGTGGTTTTGTTGAGTTTTTTGTTTTGTTTTTTTTTAAGCTATTAGACAACCTTGCTGAATTGCTTTTAAAATATTCTTTACATTAATAAATATTTAGGGAAAATAACAAAAGTCATCCATATATAAATCTTACTTAGTATGATGTTCCATAAAATTGTATGACCAAGCTTTTTAACTGTTTGAGGTCATAAGTATTTTCGCATAATTACTATTGCAAATGCTGTGGCAGTTTTATATAAAGTCTAGTTAACGGTTTCACCAAAAAGAGGATATAAATCTTTATTCTCATTTTAGAAACATTAATTTTATGGTTTTTAAAATCCAATTAGACAATATAGTTTGCTTTAAGGGGTTGTAATTATGTTCCCTACTTCCATCCTCTATTTTTGGTCATTCTTCCCACACAGGGAAAAAAGCTGAGAGAATCATAGAAGAGCCAAAGTAAATCTACTGTGTGACTTGAATTCAAGACTTAAAGGTAAAAATCTCTTACCTGCTCCCTCTGAAATAGTAGTGCAGAAGATTTTGGCTCTTGTTTCTCAAAAAATGCAAGACATCCCCTGCTTTACTCCAGGTTGGTGTTTCAGTGACAAACTCCACTGTGCCAGGGAGCAGAGAGAGAAGATGATATTTTGAGGGACATGTGTGTATATATAACAACAGAAGGCTTCAAAGCCAGCCAGACTCA